TAAGGCCCATCAACATCCCATTCCTCCCTATCCTGATTGACCCAGGCTAACCCAGTCTCGTCAGATCTGGGGTGCTAAGCAGGGTAGGCCGTGGATAGAAGAAGAGATTGGACTTATACCCCACCCTACACAAGCCAACAAGCTCCTGCCAACCTAGCAGTTCGAAAGCAAGAAAGTGCAAGTAGATAAATAGGTACCACTTCGGTGGGAAGGTAACAGCGTTCCGTGCGCCTTGGTGTTTAGTCACATGACCACGGAAACGTCTTCGGACAGCGCTGGCTCTTCGGTTTTGAAACGGAGAACCCTAGAGTCAGATTCGACTGGCTTTCGAGCAAGGGAACCTTTACCTTACACTACCCAAAGGTGGCTCAGGGCGGCTTACAATCCCTTCCCCTTCCCCTCCCCACAACAGACACCCTGTGAGGTAGGTGGGGCTGAGAGAGCTGTTTGAGGACTGCCCGTGAGAGAACAGCTCTGAGAGAACTTGTGACTGACCCAAGGCCACACCAGCAGCTGCATGTGGAGGAGTGGGGAATCAAACTCGTTTCTCCCAGAGTAGAGTCTGTGCTCTAACTGCTACACTGAACTGACCGGACTTGGATGGGGGACCAGTAGGGAAGACAGGGGTTGCTATGCAGAGGCAGGCTATGTCAAGCCACCTCTGAACGTCTCTTGCCTTGGAAACCGTACAGAGTCACCATAAGACGGCTGCAACCTCTCAGCCCTTCCCACCACCTCCACCCCGTTCTGCCCCAGAGGCTAACCAGCTTTGGACAGAAAATTCTTATGAAACCACGTCACCAAAAGTCGCTTACAAAAACCCAGAACATCTTTTTGACCAAGTTTTGTTGGTACTGTTCTAGCAAGGTTGCTTCGGGGAGGTTTCATTTGGAGGGAGGAGCACACGAGCGAAATTGTGCGCATTTAAAATATCGCTAGGTGGTCATTCGCAGGCGGCTTTCGTTTGTGAAACTCGAACGCCTTGGAAAGAAAGGCTGGCCGGCTTTAACATTGGTGCAAAATGTCTCTTCCCATCCAGGTCTCTATGGGGACAGATGCGCTCGTGCGGCTGCTCAGTGGCACAACGGCGCTAGCCCCTCGCCTGGGCCGAGCCGGGCTGTCCATCCTCATGGCAGTGCGTCTGGCAGCTTTGGCTCTGGGGGCCAGAAGCCTGTGGCGGGACGAGATGGACGACCTGGCCTGCAATTCCTCTGCCAGCTGCCGCCTGGCTTGCTTCGACGCCGCTTTCCCGGTCTCGCCCTTCACCCTCTTCCTGCTGCAGGCGGCTTTCGTCTCCGCGCATGGCTTGGCCTGCTCCCTCCTGTGGCGTCCGCCCGACTGCCAGGGGAAGGGGTGGCTCCGCGACAAAACCCAGCAGCTCCGACTCCATTCGCTGAGCCTCCTGGCTCGGATCCTCCTGGAAGGGATCTTCCTGATGACGTTCCACGCTCTCTATGCCCGCTACCCGCAGACCTTGCACTGCCCTGCTTCAACGCTGTGCCCCGACACTGTAGTGTGCACCATCCAGAATGCCCAATGGAAAGACGCCTTTGACCTCTTCGTAGCCGGCACCTCCTGGGCTTCCGTGGCGGTTTGCCTAACGGTGCTTTACCTTGCCGTGACTGAGATCGTCCAGCTGACATTGTGGCCTGCAAAGAGGCACTTGGGACATCTCCTTTTAGCAGAATGTCCTTGAGGCTCCTGTTGGAAATATGTGTGTTGCAAGGTCTATATTCAGTTATTATACGGTTAGCTGTTGTAGATTTTCTGGGTTGTCTGGCCGTGGTATAGGCAAAAGAACCTCCTCAGGAAACAGCCAATCCATATACAAAAGAACCTCCTCAGGAAACAGCCAATCCATATACAAAAGAACCTCCTCAGGAAAGCTCCTCCATTAGCATGTTTCACAGCCTGGGGAAACTCCTCAGGAAACAGCCAATCCATATACAAAAGAACCTCCTCAGGAAAGCTCCTCCATTAGCATGTTTCACAGCCTGGGGGAACTCCTACATGATAATGACTCAGCCCTACCCCACCTTCCTGAGTAGATATAAATTACCTGCCTACCATTTTTCTTCTCACCTTGACACAGAGAGTACTCCGTCTTTTTGTGTTATACCTCTGAGGATGCCAGTCACAGCTGCTGGCGAAATGTCAGGTCCTAAAACGCCAAGACCACAGCCAGACAACTCGTAAAATCTACAACAGCTAATGAACTCCAGCCGTGAAAGGCTTCAACAACATTATGTTAATTTGTTTACCTTGTGTGCTGTTGTTTCTATTGACTTGGAAGGGAACCTGGCACTAAGCCAATGGGGAGAAAGCCCAGGAAACTGGAGTCTATTTACTAACAATCGTTTAAATGTACTCAGGTGATTTCCTTCTAGGGTCAAGAAGCAAGAAGAACCTCCATTACCAACCGTGTGGCCAGTCTGTCTGTTGTTGTACTAACGGCAAGGATGTAGTCTTAAGTGTTTGTTGTTTCGTTGATTTCCGTGCACCCTTCCCTTTAGAAATAAAGATTTTTACATAGAAAGAATATGCCTCCTCTCCAGTGAACAAAGACCCATTGCAAGCTCTGAATATCTAACTATTCTTACCAATTTTTCCAACAGCTCCCAGGTTCAGGGCACCCCACCTGGACAGGGCCGGCTCACTCACTAGGCGAACTAGACTTTCGCCTAGAGCGCGGGGCCATCATGGGGGCGCCGGGGCACGGAAGCCAGGCACACAGCGAAGCCTCTTCCCCAGGCTGGAGTTGCTCAGCAACCCAGCGCTGCCGCGTCCGCCCCGTGCATCACCGGCTTCCTCCAGCATCGCCGCTGGCACAGTGTGAGGAGGAAGAGGTGCCCCTTAGGAGGCCAGTGGTGGGAGGCGCAGTCCCACTATGCTTTTGGCGCCTTCCTGCCATTTCCTTCTCAGCTGTTGCTGCCGCCGCCTGGCCCAGCTCAAGGTCCCGCGGCCACCGGCTCCATTTCCACGCTGCCTCCCAGGCAGCTCCCCTGCCCTGCATGAACTACCGCTGGGCAGCGAGAGAGGTGGGAAGGGAAGGAGGGATGAGTTTGCCCGTCACTCATGCAGCGTGGCAGGCAGATGAGGCGTGCCCACCGGGCACTGTAGTACCCTGGAACCCGAGGGGAGCGCACACGGAGACCTCTCTGAGACCCTCAGCCACCCATGCCGAGCTCCCTGCTGGGAGACCCGGTGCCTTGAAAGCTCTGCAAGGGTCCCTGTATGGCTAAGCTCTGCAAAAAGGAATTTTTTTAGCACAAGCGCGCCACAAGGCAACCTTGCCTGGGGGGCGCAGGCGCCACAAGCTAGCCTCGCCTAGAGCGCAGAAACTCCTCGGGCCGGCCCTGCTCCTAGATCATAAATGGATGAGGACCGTCTGTTCCTGATTCTAGGACAAATCTAGAGTCCAGTGGCACCTTTAAGACCAACAAAGTTTTATTCAAGGTATGAGCTCTCGTGTGTGTGCACACGTTTTCAAATACATTGGAATGGTAGGTAAAGTTCAAACTTATAGGCAGAGGCTGAACATGTTTCTTACATGTTTATCTGCTGATGTTTTGCGGCATCCAACTCAAAAAAGGAAAAAAATGCTGTTAAGTGACCTCCGTGCCTGAGAGAATGGAGAGTATCAGTTTGCTTCCCACAATTAGAAAAGACACCTTTACACATTTATCTGCTGCTTTGATGTGTATTGCTTTACAACTGTTGACTATAAGCTTGTTATTTAGTTTGCCTTTACACATCTTCATCATGTTACATGTTAACTTGCTGTTCAGCCCCGGTCTTTAAGTTTGAGCCTTGCCTTACCTATCATTCCAATGTATTTGAAAAAGTATGCATGCAGACGAAAGCTCGTACCTTAAAAGTCCCACTGGACTCTAAATTTGTTCTACTGCTTCAGAGCAACACGGCTGCCCACCTGGATCTATGTCCCCGATTCTGTTCCCTCCTCTCCGTAGCAGTTGGCTGCTCTTTTTCACAGAAGGGCTCTTTTGTCCAGGACGAATTTGAGGGTAAGATGCAGCAATTGGGGGCGGTGGGGGGCACTCTGCCAAGCAAATTGCCTTGCCCATGTGAAGGTGCAACTGAGAAACATGATTGTCACACCGGGGACAGTTGTCTCTTTTTCGTTTAAACCTGTTTGTGAGGAGGGAAAAAACAGTGTTCATAATATGCAGGGGTCATTTCGTAGAAAAAGAGGTGCAGGAGCTCATTAGCATAACTCATTAGCATAACTTATTTGCGTATGCCACACCCCCTGACATCACCGGAAGTGTGTCAAAAGGCAACACCCACCACTCAGTCTCCACTGGACTGTTTTGGATTGCTAGCTATTGGAGGGGAGGGGGGAGCGTGCAAATCTTTCCTCGCAGAGGAGGGAGAGCTTGTACCTGAATCAAACTTGGTCTTAAAGGTGCCACTGGACTGTTTTGGACCGGGGACCGGGGGGGGGGCTCTGCAACTTGCCTGGCTGCTTCTTGCTCTAGCTGAGGGCTGCTGGGAGCAGGGGGGCGGGGCTCGTTGCATGTGCCTGCCTCCTTGGCTCTTTACTGCCGGAGCTCCGCTCCTGTGCGCTCCTGCAGGAAATGACCCCTGATAATATGGCTTCTCAGGTAGGAAGTTGCACTTGATACTCTGAATAAATGCTGCAATGTTTACAATCAAGGGGAGTACACGTCTGACACTTGATTTGGTGTGTAGGATGCAAGACAGCCCAGGAAACCTCTGGGACTTACTTATAACATTCAAAGAAGAAGAGGAGGATTCACTGGCAGTCTTTAAGCAGCGGCTGGACAAACACTTGTCAGGGATGCTCTAGGCCTCTGGTTCCCAAAGTGGGCAATACCGCCCCCTGGGGGGCACTGGAACGATCCAGGTGCAGATCCACAAACTGCATCGTTTTGGCCACTTCTTGAAGGTAGTTTTCCAGCGGGGTGCTGAGTAATTTTTTTCTAAAAAGGGGGCGTTAGGCCAAGTAAGTTTGGGAACCTCTGCTCCAGGCTGGTCCTGCATTGAGCAGGGGGTTGGACTACATGGCTTGTATGGCCCCTTCCAACTCTGTGATTCTAGGATTCTACCTTCAGGAGTCTCTAAGCGGCTTACAATTGCCTTCCCTTCCCCTCCCCACAATGGCCCCCTTGTGAACAGGCCCGTAGCCAGAAAATCTTTATGGGGGGGCAAATGAGGACAGTGGCGGTCAGCTCATTAGTTATTTACCCATTTTCTGCTTGAGACCTGCCCAAAAATAGCCCTGGACCATTGTAATCAAACAGCACGAGCGTTCTAATCAAAATGCAATAGGACGAGGTGTATGAGAATTACAAAAATGCAAAAGAAGTATCAAACATGCCGTGTCAAGCAGTGCAGAAAACGGAATTACAAAAAATGAAAACAATGCTGTAAGAGCATGAGAGAACATGCAGCAAATCAGTAATATATATAGCGTACACTGTGGCATAGACTACAGTCCTGTTAACAGTCCTGGGTATATCAGTCCCCAGTTCTGACATATTTATTACCTCTGTTGTTTTCCCAAACAGTTGAACCCAAACATATTATAACCAGAAACCAAGCTTGTCATTCTTTTTCTGTTTGGAAACATCTTCACTATTTTGCATGTTCATTTAACAAGCCCCCCTCTATATATACAACTATGATCGGTGATTCCATTTCATTGTCTGACAAAGTGTGCGTGCACACGTAAAGTCATACCTCAAATAAAACTTTGTTGGTTTTAAAGGTGCCACTGGACTCTAACTTAGTCCTGTTCTGTGTAAGCTTTATAAAAATGCCTTCCCAAGCAACTGTTTTACATAGTTTGCAGAATTAAAGACATGTGAGAGCCTTCTTCCAGTTACCGAAACAGTAAATTCGACCTTCTCTTTGTAAATCACTAACTCAAGGCTTCTAACAGTGTAACCCAACGCCCCTGCAGGCTTTTAAAATCAGGACTCTTCAGCCATGCTAACTGCTAATTCTGTTCTAGCCAACTGCACAGAGGATTCACCCTTGGAAGATTTATGACAGGATTCACACTTTTTACCTCAGCTCCTTCCTTTTTTACAAAGGAAATTTATACCTGAAAGACACATGACAGATTTCACACCAACCTGTAATGCTGATTGGAGGAGCATGACAAATGATTGATGGGGCACTGCCCCCTTTTGCACTACCATGGCTATGGGCCTGCTTGTGAGGTAGATGGGGCTGAAAGAGTTCAGAGAGAATGGTGACTGCCCCAAGGCCACCCAGCAGGCTTCATGTGGAGGAGGGGGGGAAATCAAACCCATTTCTCCAGATTTATGTATTTATTTGTTTCACTTTTACCCCATCCTCCCCGCTAGGCAGGCTCAGGGCGGCTTCCAAGAACTGACAAGCAGTATACATTCATAATAGATTATAAAACATCAATTAAAACACAGCAATCAATATAAAACATTCATTAAACATTCATTAGATGGCAATAGAACTAAGGTGCAATTTAAGGACACATTCGGCAGTACCGCCGCATTAGATCATATAGGATCGGAGTTCACTACAGGGCGCAGCTGGTAAAACGTCGCTCCTATCGGAACGCCTGCCTAAAAAGTTCTGTTTTCACGGCCCTGCGGAACTGTGAAAACAGAACTGTGAAAGTCCACAGTTGTAAACCACTACACTGTGCTGGCTCATGAGGGTTGGCAC